ACGAACATATATTTGTATCTCCGCGTTTTTTCTCACGGTCAGGTTTTTCGATCTTAGCGCACATAGCTTTTGACTACAGAAATAGCAGTAGTACAGAATAGGGCAGCGAAGTGTTGTTTATATCATAACAGTATATGCAGAGACAGCAATGGTTCTTCAAACACTCTGAATAAGGAAGGAAAGTTCAGTCTAATTTTCATCGAAATCAGGAATGAGTCGCCAAGAAATGAACCGCTGAAAATAAGCCCAGTGTGAAGTACACAAATATAGAGTCGAATTTAGCGAATCAGAATAATAAACACTTCTCAATATACATTACTTGCTCTGCTGTAATTTGTACACTGCTTTATTACGTTGGTATGTTCAGTAAGGTACCATTTAAAATCCAATGTAGTGTCTACTTTAAGAAGATCTTTGTATTTCCTCTCAGAAATTGTAGAAACAAGATGTCCCTATCTTGGGCATTTCGTATTTATCCACTCAATTTTATTCTACTCTGCGTCCAGGTTTAATATTTTCCGTTAAAAAATGTTTATGGAAGTTCGAGGAATCGTACTAGTTTATAAAACTGTGGTCAAAATCGCTCATATATCGCTTTATTCTCCTAATACGAGAAAATGTTAAGGTACTTCTAATGGCCTAGGATGTTTTGGAGTACATAGCCTTTGCGATAAACAAGACTATGTATGTTGTGCTTATGAAATTGCCGTTGTTTCATTTAGGAGGTTTGTATTCTTTAAATTTTCCCTTTCTCACTTCGTGAAGTTGTTCGAAATAGGCAGCACATGGCCAGCCCACAAGCACTACAGCCATCTCTGGGTCTGTTTGCTAGGATATATCCACTCTTCGCCTGAATAATTCTATTTTTCATACAGCATGCCCAATAAACTTTGGCATCAACAACACTGTTGTGTAAGCGCCTTTTTATACTGTAAAGCTGCTGTAAAGTATATTGAATTGCAGAGACTTTTCTATTAATCGCACCACTTCATTTAAAGCAGATTTCGTCGATTTACCTTTGATGTAAATCAGCTCTTTTTAAAATTGAAGCGTAGTCTTTTTTTGTCGTCTTTATCAAGTCCCTGTATACGGTCAATTTGGAATTATTTAAAATTTGATTTGGTGTCATGTTAATTGTCACACCACATTCCCTCAGTAACCTCCAACAACAAAACATATGCTCACAAGTAATGTTCCACTTTCGCAAGGTAATCGATTTTGCGGTTAAAAAACATAAACGCCGTTAACTGGTCAAGCACGCAATCATCGATTTAGTTTTTTAATAAATTTTTCGTTTAATGTTTTCCACAGATTTGCTTTTTTTACATTTGGTTTAGCTTTATTTATGGGAAAGGTATTAATTTTCCTCTCTGATTTTTTTTGCCGCATTTTTCGATTGGTAGTTTGGATTGTTTGTGTGCAATGCGTAGGCGCCAAAATTGTTGCCGCAACATGCAATCGCACATACAAATTTACATTCACAAAGACGTAAACACAAACAAGCAATCGCACCTGAACGGCAACCATCGGCATGGTTCACTGGCAAGCTGACTAACACGTTTGAAATGTCCGCTCTGTTGTATGAACAGTGGGTTATTCTTACTCGTGAATTCTCAAATTGAAAAAAAAAATTATCAAACTCCACTCATATTTCGGGGTTAGTGATGCTGTGTTGAAAAGATAGTGATGAATGTTAAACTCTTGGATGGGTCCAAAGCTTGATTTTTTGTTAATGTTATTACATTTTCAAAGTTCTGCTTTTTGTTTTGGCTTTTCAGCTAACTTTTTTGTTTCGATATTGCAGCAAATTTGATAACCCCCCGTTACTGGATAGGTTTCGCCTTCTCACAAATAGCCCGATTTCAAACGGATACTTGGTGTAAACACAGAAAGTTATGATCTGCTTGAACGGGACGCAAATGCCTCGTCTTTGGCGATGGCGAATACCACAGACAACAGAACTATGAGTTGCGTGAGATGTATAACGATATAGCCATAGGGTAGCGGATTTTACAGCGGCTGCCCTGGCTTGGTCACGTCATAGAGCTCCAGCTCTGAAAGTATTCACGCGGGTCGCGATGTTGGTAACCTAGGAGGAGAAAGGCCTCCCTTTCGAAGGAAAGACCAAGTGGAGAAGGGGCTTGGCTTAGACAGAAGCAGCATTTTTAAATGGAACAAAATGGTTTTGAAAGCTAAAGTTAATCCTTTTCAATTGTGGCCATTGAGCCACAATTACCGCTTGAACATAAAAAAATTGGTCAAAAGTAGTGTTCTTCGAAAAAAACATGCAAAATCCACGGGATTCATTCCAAAACAAAAAATTGTTAAAAATTCGAAAAAAATTGAACACCTTAATTTCAAAAATTCATTGTTTTTCCTATTTGCATGCAGATGTGCATCCTTCACTCAATTTTATATCCCTCGAAAAATAAGTGCAATTCAATACCTTTACTTTGAGCCAATTAATTAATTAATTAATTTGAGCCCTCTGAGAGTCAAGTTATAATTTAACAATTTTAAACCAAACTTCGAAACTGCTGTACTATTTTTTACCCCGAAATTAGAAAAAAATTGTGTAAAATGTCAAACGAAATTTCGAAGTTCAACTTCAGAATCGTAATAATTTAGTTCTCAAAGGGCCTAGAAACTTCTACCTCGGCCTAAATTAAAGGTATTGAATATCACTAAAACTGGCTTGTTGCTCGAGGGATATAAAATCGTTTGAAGGATGCACAGCAAACAAACCTCTTTTCCTTGCTAGCGTCTACTTTTTTTACTTTTAGATTTGGCATTTCTCCTCTTTTTCGCAAAAATAATCTATAAAACTAGGTTGGACACCGAAAAGTTATCGGTTAGATCTGCGATTGTTTTATAATTACAGATTAACAAGGAACGAATTTTGTATGACTATTCTCTTTTTCTAATTACAGATTAGGAATTTAAGCTCGAAAATGAAGATAATCTATGTAAACTTATTATAATATTATCGTATTGTTTTTAGGCGAACTTCAACTCCGAACAAAATGTGTATAATATACATGTATAAATAGTTTACATACATATGTATGTAAATACAATTACAATTAATCTAAACGCTTATATACCTCGCAACCATGTAAACCTCGTAAACTTACTTAATTTTGTATGGAACAACGGTTTATTTACGAGGTTAACGCCGTTACGAGGCGTACCAATAATAACTAATAAAAGAAAAATAAAAATTTTAAAGAAGAATGTGCTTTTGTTTGAGAAGTTTTAACTTTAAGAAGAATCAATTAAACAAACAGAAGACATAAACTCTTACAAAACAACAAAGTTATTACAAAACTTCACTTTGCGAAAATACTTAAAAATAAATGATTTTTTTGAGATCATTTGTTGTGATTTTTATTCTACAGACAGCAACTTCATATTGCTACACTTTATTCATTCACCCAAAATTTCACTGTTGCCAATTATATTTTCCTTGCCGGTATCTGCAGATATACATACATGTTTGCATACAATAAAAAAACAGCAAACGCATACGTGAATGCTAATCATGTACCTAACCATCACTTTTTTCGAAACAGCGATTTTTACAGATTTTGATAGGGTGTATGAAAATAAATCTTCAGTAAAAATTTTAAAGTGCTAGTACCAACAACAACGCAGTTATATGCCGCTTTTTTAAATACCCCACATGTTTTTGATACTACTTTCATAAATCTCCTCCATACGCAGAACCGCCAATACACCTTACTTTAATTCACAGCGTCACCTATTTAAGCAAAGATCAAAAAATTTAAATGCACTGGCGCTATCGGAACTATCAACTGTCGCCCGAAAGCAATCGATGTTTTTCCAAAAATAAAACGATCGATAGTGCGTGTACTCCTATAAGGCGGTGGCCTATGATTATCCCTCATAACCAGTCTAAGTCAGGACATTCCAAGAGCTGAAGCACCCTGCTCTTCCCATTCAACCTTGGCCAGATGTCCCCAGCTATTTTATATACAAATTTTTAAAGCGGCCAGACCATCTCGCATACAGCTCAAGATTTGTATCAATCAAATACGGAACAGCTCTGCCTGAAACACAACACAGTAATCAGATAAGAGGAAGCTCATATTATATTAGCTATACCTAAAATTGCGCGCCAATGGCCAAGGAGCTGTCAGAAATGCTTTGCCCATAAATTTTTGTGAAGCATTGCGCAATAATGCAGCGTAACGTATTGAAGTTGGTGAGAAAGAGAAAACAAGAATAAATACGTGAGGAATTGATAAACCCTTAAAAATTGAATGCGTTTATTTGGGTATTTATGTATGCGTTATTTTATCAACAGAGTTTACTTATCCACTATGTGTGAATTGAATTGGATTTATCTTTATAAAATGGCGTTGATAACTGCATTTAAATTTTAGCCGAAGTTTCCTTCGCCATGAGTCCCACTGTAGATTTACATACCTATGTACATACAAGCGCACATAAATAGGTCTTCTTGAAATTGGTGCAACCACTTGTTGGCTTGTTCGTTGCCGCGATTCAAACAAGTTCGATGCATTAGCGCTCACAAAGCAAACCTCAAAAAAAAAATCGAATAAGTATTGGCCAAAACAAATCCCAAGGAGAGCGCGGCAATATTTTGAATTTTTCTTTCGACCAAAACAAGCGACGTCCAACAACAGCTGTCTCGCCTGCTGCCGGGGCATTAGCTGTAGCGGTTGCTGTCGCTAACGGCGTCTCACGTCGGGTGAGTTGCTGTTGCTGCCGTTTGAGTTGCGGAAAAACTCGTCTGCCTACGCGCATGCGCATATGCGCCATCGTGCTGTGCCGCTACACTTTGCTCACACGCCACGCTGCGTGCACAACTCGAATTTGGTATTTGTCGTTCATGCGCTGGCTTGGCGGCTGCCTGGCGCGCTCGTCAATCGCCATAAAAAATCGCCGTGAGCACTTTTGTCAACTGGTGGCAGCAGCGACAGCAACACCAGCAGCAGCAGCAGCAGCAGCAGCAACATTTGTTGTTGACGTTTGACAGCGACATTGGTTGCACACTAGCATTCAATACTGCGATCGCGTTGATCGCGCTAATCATTCCTTTGCCGAACGACATACGCGGCGGTTCACGCGGTGAGTCAAAAATAAATTTACGCAGTAAACTTTTTTCGCGGCCGAATTGCAAGCTGCTGGAAGTCGCGCGCTGTGGCTGATTGTAAGTGGGCGGCATTAAATGCTGTGGCGAGCATTGTACGATGTGTATGATCTTTGGCTGATCTATTTTTGATTTGTGTGTTTGTGGAGTGATCGCTTTGAAATTTGTGTGGAAAAAGCGGAGTAAATGTTGCAACGCCTAAGTATCCCTACATTTAATTTGAGTTGGTGTTAAATATCCGAGGCCGAAAGGTGTACATCAAATTTTTTTATTCCAAATAATTGTGCAAATGGTTAATAAATTACAAAAACAAAAAAGCTTATACAAATAATTTGGTTGTTCACGCTTGCCTGGTTATCAGCTTATCCGTTGTACGACAACAAAATGCACTGCAGAAAAATTATTTTTAACCAGATAACCTTATAACCAGGCAAGCGTGAACAACCACAATGATGATGAATATTTTCTTCAGTGGCGTAGATAAGTGCATGATGCATTTCGATTCTGCATGAAAGCACTCATTTCATTCCCATCGATCTAACTTTTCTGGGAACTTTTTTGCTGTAAATCGAAATAAGTGCATCGTTGCATTAAAATGTCATGTCAGTCATTCAGTATTATTGAGTGCTAATGCAAAGGCAAGATAAATGACAAAGAGCAATATATTTATATGTGTAACTTATTTAACTTACAAACGCTGTTGTTGTAGGTGAATGATGTAGTAGGAGTCTGCATCCACCTTCGTACATTCCATTTTATGACATTAATACGGATTAAAATATTTTGTTGCGGTATTAAAAGCCAGCACTGTCAGCGGGAGCATTTTTTTGTTGCAGTTAGTAGAAGTGCAGTGACTGCGAAAGAACTCCACAGGAAGTGATGTCATGATCTAGAATAAAAATAAAAGAGTCGTTAAATGCTTGCCTAGATTTTGAAATGAAAAAAAAAATAATTAAGTTGATCAAACTACATATACATAACCGTGTATAAATGAAACCCGAAATAAAATAATAATAATAATAATATTGTCCGACTGAGCGTTCTGGTTCGGGTTCGGCCATAATTGCCCGAGTAATTTGGCCGAATAGTTAATATTTAACCGACTTCCAAAAAAGGAGGAGGTTATCAGTTCGTCGGAAATTTTTTTTTTTTGTTATGTGCGGTAACATAACTTTGGACCACGTCAACCGATTTCGATAATTCCTTTTGCGTCGGAAAGGTAGTGTCTCAGAGGTAGTCCCGTACAGTCTGGTTCAGATCTGATCATTGTGTTATGAAATATATATATTTTTTTTAAAGTCGGTTTTTTTTTGCTAAAAATTACTTGTTGTTTATAAAAATCAAACTTTCTAATAATAGTTTTGGTCCGTTTACACGGTTAACGCAGACAAGTCCACTTTCAACTATGTTACTACATATTTTTATGTTTATAAATTAGTTACCTGAAAATTTTACTAAACTTGCTAAAATGTGCACAAAATGCCTAACATATTAATACTTAAATCCTCCATATCAGTAGAATAAATTAATTGCACGTATTTTTTTATCTTGCACTTGCAGCAAAAATGAAAATTGCCAGTGCAGCACGAGCAAGTTGAAATTATTTCTCCAAAGCGATTTGCGTAATTTAAGTTGCAAGTGCACCTTTTAAATCTGCAAAAAGGACTTTCTGACTGTTTACACGGGAAAGTAGACTTTCGATTTCGCATTTTGACAGCAAAATGCGTAGAAAAAGCGTTTGCATTGCCACGTTTAACCGCACCTTAAGAGCAGTTTTCTTGAAAATAATCACAATAATGCCACCGAATCGTATTTTAGGGCAGATATTCCAAATGTGGTGTATTGTTTAGCAGTGCGCTCTACCGCCCTAATGTACATACCTTTTCCCATAAACAATACAAATAGTCTCCAAGGTCTCAGGCAAATAAATGTGCAATGATGATATAATTCTTATAATGCATGCCTTTGCTGGTGTGTGCTTAATTGCAAGTTATTTTTCTAACCAGAACTTTCGAATGTGTTAATATAACATAAACGTCAATTTATATAACTAAGCACAAGAATTGTCTAAACCAGTCAGCCAAACATTCCTTGAAGAATTAAACTGGCAACAATAATAAATCTCCCATTTTGGTCAGAAGCCAATCAAGTAAATCTCATTCAATCACTTTAAAGGTTAAGCAATTTCTGCCATTGAAAAGGTGTTATGTGTCGCCAGACAACTTTGTGGTAAAAGGCAAACAGACTTAAATGGCAAGTAAGTTAATTTTGTATGGAGATTACTTCAATAACTTATATATCTAACTGCACACTGCTAATCTTGCATATACATACATACATATGTACATTCACATTTTATATTCTGTTTTTTTTTGTTCATTTACAACAAAAAGTTGTCGAGTTTCACTTTCTTCTAATTGCTTGTTTGATTTCTTAGGAATGCATAGCATTGAATTCTTTGCTACCCACGCATAAAAAGTACCTAAATACATACAGACATACATATGTACATTCACACATACATATGTATATATCATGCTATAAGAACTCGCACTAAAATAGAGAATGAAAACAGTTTCTAAAGGCTTTTCTGATTCTTTTCTATCAAATTTTACACTCTTAATCTGTATACAATTGGTCTATGAAAATATTTTGAAAGAATTGATTGCATTGAAAGAAAGCTTCAAGTGATCAATGTGGCCTATCAATGGCAATTGAAACATCGTTGATTTATCAAATTTTGCTGTGCGTTGACGTGAATAACTACACACACACAAATATGAATACAGCAGCATTACGCAGTTTATTGTACAATCAATGCGTTTCTCAGCTTTTCTCGATTTGGCGGCGATCTTCAAATCTTGTGCGTATAATCTGTGCCACTGTCGGATCAGTATTCTTTGTAGCTGATGCTTGGTTGTCATTTATCCAGCTGCGAGCTACTGAACTCACTTTGTGGCGGCCCGATAAGCGGCTTAGAGTTGTCTCGCGCTTATGGCAATTGTTGGCCGGAAGGCTGATGAACAAATGCTCTTCTGGGTAAAGGGGCTATCGGAATTAAGGAGTGAAATATTACTTGTCTTTTCTATCAAAGGAATGTATAAATATATATGATTGTACAAGCTTAATAAAATAGTGTAAAGCATATGAAAACTGTTTAAAAAATTTCATATGCAGCAAATGTACCTCGAAAAAGTATTAATTTTAAATTTTTGATATTATATTTACACCAACAAATTTCACTGCACATTAACATAACGAGGGCCTATATCGACGGTACTTTGGCAAACCCTCGCATCTTAAAATACTCTCAAACAACACTATCTAACGAAAAACTCTCTATTAATAACAGAAAACAATTTTTATACACTTTTTTACTAAATATTAAGGATTAAGAACTTTTTAGTTAATTAGGATAAGTATATAATAAATCGTAGTATTTCACAGTCTATTTTGAATTAATTTTACGAGATACGAAGTAGTAGTGATTCCTGCGATACGAGGTTTTGCCAAAGTACCGTCGATATTCAATACCCTCCATCATAAATTTTCACAAAAAGTACTTTCTGATGTTATAACCGATCTGGAACTTAACTAATTGCGGATTTTAATTTTAACTTTATTTTTGCAATTCAATGGCTAATTCTTCAAAAAGTGGTATACAAGTCATAGCCCAGTAAAATTTGATCAAATTGGTACGAAGAAAAAAAATGTAACAGCGATTTTTTTAAGCAGTTTACTTGTATTTGACGGGTAGATCATGGATCCACAGCCTAGCCCCTAAATTTCATATGACAACATTCCGCTTCCCTTACATCGCTATGTTTGGCACGTTCCCAGTCGTGATCTAAGAAAAAAAATTTTAATTAAAAGTTGTGGAGAATGAAATTTTCTACAATTTTAAAATTTCAATATGCTACGTGTTTTCAACACAAATTGTCGAAAAACGGAGAAAACCATGACAATGTAAAATTTTTTTCGCAGTGTTTGCTAATTAATTAAAAAAAAACCTTCTATATAAGAAATGTGGGAAATTAAATTCTCTACACATTTGTATCTAACCGTTTTGATGAAAAATACAAAACAAGCTAGCAATCGAAAAAAACAACAAATCTAAAATCCAAGATGGCGGAATGTTGCCATATGAAATTTAGGGGCAGGACTATGGATTCATGATCTACGTGTTAAATAGAAGTAAACTGCATCGAAAAATCGCTGTTACATTTTTTTTTTTTTGGAAAAAAGTCTAATTTTAACGGATTAACAGAATTAACATCATCGATGACAGTTGGAGGGTATTAATTGTATTTACCTTCCGCAAAAACTTGAAGCAACAATTTGTGGTAAGCAAAAATGGCGATGAAATTTCCTTTCCCCATGCGATTAACAAGTCCCTTGAAATAGAATAACATATGGGTGTTTCCAAAAGTAAAAACAAAAAAAGTAAAAGTCATATATCTAGCGTATTTATGGGCCAATTGGTCTACTTTTTTAAATATGCACTGGCTATGTAAGTAGAAAAATTCTTGCGTAAAATGTTCTTGCTAGGTGGCGCTTAGGTCGAGATATTTTGAAAAACCGTATTTAAGGTCCGATTTGGTTCGAATTTGGCGTATGTAGTTGAAACATAATAAAGCATAGATTTCTAAAAACTTGACTCTGAATTCAGAAAACTACAAAACAACTAGAATTACTCCAAATCATATTAAAACAAGTTTCATGAAAAGAGCCACCCCCATTTCGCAGAGTTTTGCGATTTTGTAAGAAAAGAAAAAATCAACTTCCATTTTTTGTCACGTAACGACACTCTCTTTAATTGTTTCCATTTTTCAGCTTAATATAGAGCTAATTAAGTTATATACAAGGGTCTAAAAAAGTAAAAGAAAACAAATGTTTTTCCTTGTTTGTATCGCATTGAAACGGTAGACGTATGGAAATACCCATATGCGAAACGCATCACGTTAACACTTGCAAATATCCTAACCAGTCAGTTGATTAAATAAATTATCACTAGGAAATTAGTAAGTTATTATTAATTATTTGTGATAAGAAATAAATAG